TTGAGACCTAATCTCGAATCATATTTTTCTTTTGCACTAGAATATGCCCTAACCACATCATCTAAACTCATGAACCAAACTTTTATATTTTCAACTTTCTTCGAGTCGAGTTTCACTGAATGTTAGCCTGAAAGAGGCATTTGTCTTAACCTATCAACAATAGGTTCATTGTTATTGTGGACAATGATGTCGTGGAATTGGACATAACTAATGAGCAGGTTGCACCAGGTGATGAACAACCAGCTGATGATGATGATGTAGAAGACGTGGGAGCCCGTGCCATTAGGGATCAGGTAGCAAACACTTTACGACTGTAAAGGTCATCAAACTGAGGTCAATTTGTTTTGAAATATGCAAATAGGTAGAACAATTATGGTTGTGAATTTAGAAATAATAGAAGGAATTTCTAAGGGTTTCTGCTTATTTTTATTTATTCACCCCAAAATATTTTCACATACTCAATTATACATGTATCTGATACATATTCATATTTATATTTTTTTGTTATTTTGAACTAATGAACTCAATACCTCCCACGAAAATAACCTTACTGAAAATCTCACTTACTGAAAATTAGCATCTTCTCTCTTTTTAGGAGCTCATTTATTTCCTTATAGTCTAAGATCTGAATTAGGGTCGACCTTCATTGTTCAATGTATGAAAATTATTATATTCCACGAACATAAACTGAATAATAAATACTGAAATTTAATCACAATTCTTTGGTCAGAAATTCCACAAAGTGGATTTATAAAGTTAGGTAGAGTCTCTTTTCAGGAGCTCATTTCTTTCTCTTAACATATCATTTCTTTCCTTCATTAAGACTACTATCTGCTTTTGAACTTCTAACTTCTGTTTTTCAACTCCTATTCTCTCATTATGATATTCTTTCCTATCTCTTCTCAATTGCTCTAAAGTGAGATTTTTAGTTGCTGTGGGATTTTTTCTTTTCAAGGATAAACCTTTTCCTAGGGTGTGAGGTGTAGCTATAGCTGAATTTGTTGAGGTAAATTGAATAGGTTCCTCATTGGCTGGCTCTACTCCTTCTTCCACATGTTCAATGGTATCTGTTGACAACAAAACATCGGGTTTAATATTTTTTTTCCGGTAAATATATTGTCCATCTCACCCTGACACTCAAAATATTTTTTCCTTTTCCTATTTTTTTCTGGTTATCAACAAATGTTTTGCATGACTGTTCAACAACTCTCCACCTATTTTCTACATAACTTGAACTGTAGTTAGATTTAAGAATCTCATCAATTTCTACAGCTATAACTTCCCATAGTCTTTTTAAATCTTTGCATTGAAAACTCCCAACATTTTATAAAGATATAACATCACTTTTGTCTGGTCGCTACTCCAATTAGCAATAAATTCATGATCAGGTTTTTCTTGTAGTCTGGGGTGGAATTTTCTTGTAGCCTGGGATGGGTGTAATGTTGATTGTTCTATGTTAACCGAAGGAATACTCTCGGAAATACCAAATTTTGCTGGAGCTGGAAAACTTAGGAATCCTTTGAGTGAACCTAAATTAGGACCATCTTTAATTACACAAATTAATTATTGCGGTGACTTACTTACCCCACAGTTCCACGTTGATTAGTAAATAGAATAGAGATATAAAATACTGCAACCTTCTTTTACTCTCTAGAAATACACTTGATTAAAATTAATTTCGAAGGTTATGTTGAAATTCCACGAAAAACTTCACTTGAACTACTTGAGCTGTTCCAATCAGAAATTTCAAATTGATCAGAAACCAATATTTAAAAGACATGCGCGTTGACAACGATTCACAAACTTTTGGAAATCTGTTGGTGGCTCAAGGTTTGAACGAACCTAATAATGAACGGAAAACGTGATAGTATTTCATCTATTCTTCACTGAGTCAATTCCTTTAATTAGTTTCATTTCAAAATCCGAATTTCCATAAGCTATTACCGTTATATTCGAATCTACTACGGAGATTCACCGCCTTCAAAATATTTAGTGAAATGGCACTTGTGAGTGTTTGAATTCAAGTTCTTCGCAGATTCACACAACGATTCTCTTGCTCCAACATTACTTCTCTGCTCAATGACCTGCGGCTAACAACTATGGTCCTTATAACTGAATGAATATAGAGTTCGTCGTCTTTTCCGTCCTCTACACCACCTTCCAATTCTACCTCTTCCACCTTCTTGTCCTGATGGGATCTTTTTTATCTGCACACAGAAGCAAAACAGCCTTCCATGACAATAGTCACATATATGTCCATAAACTGGGCATTTACCTTTGACTTGATCATTACCGCAGTAAATATAGTACTTTTGCACAGCACGTGCACTGACAGGATTCTTCATCACTTGCATTTGACTATTCCCTAAAACACTGATTGCAGCTTCATTCTGTAGATATTTTGATTTAGTTCTGCCCGCTCCAACGGCTCTGTGAAACTCCACAGATTTCTCATGTATCAGACTAGATTCATGTAGAAGTCTTTCTTGAGTTTCTTGAGTATGTCCCTGATCATATCATATTGATCTGTATACCTCGAATATTCAACTGATTTTCATCATTTGATCAGAAAATTGAGGTCTGACCTTCCTTCTGAATAATTCTGTTGGACTTTACCGTTTGAATATGATCTTGAGCTAACAATCATTTCATTTTATTTTTTTGTATACCTTCCGTAGTATTATCTTCTCCTGTTGCGAATGTCGAAGAATTATAAAGTTTCAACCTTTCTTCCACAACGAGACTCAAAATGATTTGAATTTTTATTTGAATTTGTAGAATTATAAGCCACTCTTTCCTTGATATCAACGGCTCCAAGGGCGTGAATAGTGATCCCGTAAAGAAAAAATATTCCACTGCTCAATCTCGTAATCCAGTCAGTTTTACACCTCTTTCTCCCTCTCTCTCTCTTATGGACGTTGCTTCGCACTTGGGGGCATTTGTCCAGGCTCCTCCTATCAAATTGACATCAATTTGACAGAAGCTTCGTCGGGGGGCGCAGCAGTCTTGCTCGAAGCAATGCTGCTACCTCTTTTTTTGTCACATTTTTTATAATAAAAAACAATGTACTTTTTTATAGTCACCTGCTACCGGTGTGAATAAAGGGGCCCTTAAACTTCTATTTTTAAAAACTCTCTCACACTTCAGTATTCATTACAATGAACTAGAACAACATAAAACGTAGTCCCACGATAGCACATAGTATCCGCGTACCTTCTTTGTGGACGGACGTTATCAGCACGTCCGTCCATATCACGCCCACCACGAGACTCCGTTATTACATCTGTATTGAAAATAATTTCGAAATGAGTGTTATTCATAAATATTAATGATCTATAACTCGTGGCCTTGCCATGACAGAACGTTAAACATAAGAATCCGAAACAATAATAATGACAACGCAACAAAAACTAACAATGAACATACAGGGTGTTTCAAATTCGATTCTCACCATCGGGATCTCGGAAACTATGAGAGATACGAAGATGGTTGAATAGAGGCAAAGTTGCGCATTTATCTGACTAACAATATGCCGTTGAGAAAGTTCTGAAATTTGGGAAAATGATTTTTTTCTGGCTTAACTTTACGAAGGATTCGGAAATAAATTGCACTTCCACATTGCTGCTTTTTCCCTGCTACATAATGGTGTTTTCAGATTTGCTATCAGACATTTCGTCTTCCGGCTACCATCATCATTTTTATTTTTTATTATGTGCGCTATATTGGATTTTTTCTCTTTCCAATGATATATCATAAGTTGTCATTCTTTTTCAAAAAATTGGAGGTATTGAAAAAAATTGATTCTCATCATAATTTTGACTTTGATGTTTCCAAATTTGGCTTTCGATAAGTTACACTAAATGACATTTTGTTATTGTACAAGTCATTGAATTTTTGGCGAAAAATGGCTTTCACGAATGAATAAAAAAGTGATATGTACAAATTTTTTACAAATACAATATAAATAGTGTGAGGGCATCAGAAATTTATTTAAACTTGTAACCCGAAAGACGACATCCACATCGAACTATGTTCAAGTTATTGGATCAAAATGTCACCCAGTGTGGCTCGTTTGAAAAGCCAATGGAAAAATGCGGATTTATTTGGCTTTTTTGCTTAATATAATTGTTATCTTCAGCTATTATTTTCAATTTTCAATTGTATGGGGTCTTTTGCGGCCGAGATTTTCAGTGTTACTATCTTCATTCGGGTTCAAAGGTCGTCGTAGGTTGGAACTGCATCCTAACGTTTCGCCAGCACGAGTGACTGGCTTCAAGATTTATTCATCTTGATGAGCCATCGGTGAATTATCCAGATAAATAAACCTCTGAAGAAGCCAGCCACTCGTGCTGACGAAACATTGGGATGCAGTTCCAAACTACGACACCCTTCAAACCCGAATGAAGATAGTAATTCATTTCATATCATATTAGACAATAAAAGTTCGAACTGATGAAATTCAACGTTATATTATTATCCGTTCGGAAACCTTCAATTACAGAAGTGACTAGCTAATTACACTAAGTACTCATGATTCACAAAATATGTTAAAAGAAACATGATTCAATTTCTTGAGAATACGTAACAGATAGTTTATGAAAAAGTAAATATTTCAAATTGAAATCTACAAACATTCATCTCTCCCTACTACCTACACCGTGATAAATTCCTGCTGAAGGTAATACCTCGAAAACGATCTATTCGAATTATTTCAGCATGGTCCTGCTGCTGGACGAACGAGAAACATCTGCGAGACTAGAATCTGTAAGGAATCTTGCATAAATATCTGTCGGATATAATTCAATATCCAGCGCAGTATTAGCCGCGGAAGTAGTTGTTTTTCGACAGACTTTTACCACACCCTACTGTGTAGGTAGTTGGGAGAGATTAATGTCTCGATACTATAGTCAAATAATTTATGTTCGAGTGTCATATATTTCCGGAAGCTAATCAATTTTCACTGATTGCAGGCAAAAGGGAAGAAGAAAGAATAAAAAGAATAGTTTATAAAAATTTTAATATGGATTTCATTCCATTTTCGTTGAATCAACTTTTGAAACACCGTTAAATTGCTGCACTCCCTTCCAGCTATCATGATCGTGATTTGTTCTTCTTTAGTTTTTGAATTTCATTCTTAGTCAGTTGATTTTCGTTTTTGTTATTACGATAAGCAAGAGGATTCTCAGATTTTCTTTCCTCCATGTCTGCTTCCAGTTCAGATTTGCTGATTTCACTGAGGGATTTTCCTTGTCCGTAAAATATGTCTTCAGTATATACACGGTCCTTTTTTCTGTAGGTTCCGTGGATCTGTGAATATTGAAGATTCAATTAGTATTTCAATTTTTCAAAATATCAAAATTTTGGTGGTGAAGCTGATTTTCATTGATTTTTTCTGGGTCTCTATCTTTTTACTATTCAAAGGTTTTTATTATGGAGCAAATTGTTGTAGTGGAATATTCAGAAACCCAGAAAACATCGTTAAGTACTTCATTATTTCAGTGGGTATTTGAGAGGATTATCTATTGAATATAAATGAGATCTGATCAATCGAACATTCGAATGAAGAAAGCAACTTCCCTATTGTTTATAATAATTATTGAGGTCGAAAACAGAAACAACACTAGTGATAATAACGCAGAAAGCATCTTTCGGTGAACACAATCAAGACTCAAATTTTTTTTTACATAAATACATGCCTCTGAAGAGAAGAATCTTTATCAGTTTTAGGGTAGTAGTAGGGTTTTCTCGTACTATCGCTATATAATTTGGGATATAATAGATTCTCTGTTGCAATTGTTATGGCTCATTTTTCAAGCACGATAACAGATATAATGACCTCAGTGATTTCAATATTGAATGCTTTCGAATCAACAGAACTTATCTGGCAGGTCTGTTGAGCCGTTCAGGTTGTCTTTTGACGCTTAATAATAATAATAATAATGATAATGAAGATAAAAATAATACAACTCGCGTCTCGTATCCAATGTGTGATGGATTACAGGGCGGCCAGTAGGCCTTTTACGCCCGCAGTGCAGCGAATAGCCGCCAATCCACGACATCACACTTCAAGCCAAGGCGTGCTGCTGACCACCAAACAGCACTGCCTTGATAGGATACGAATGCTAGTGGCTGCTGAGAAGTGAGGCGAGCGAGAAGTATCCCGAAAAACATTAGGTTCCGCGAGAAGATTTCTCGCTTATTCCAAGAGCCTCCACGTGTTGTGGATAATCCGCCGACCGCTGATCAGGTGGAATCCTTCTGGAAGGATCTCTATGAACACCCGCAGCCACTCAACTTAGACACTCCAGCCCTAGCACAGTTCGAAGCATTCAACAGAAAGCTTCGTCAGCCTGAGCTCAATGAACTACGCAACCCGATAACCCTGGATAACCCTGGAACTTTGGTGGTCCAGGCCCAGATAGGCTAAACACTCATTGGTGGAAAAAACTACCAAGTACCCACCGCCATTTGGCCAGAGTTTTCAACTCATGGCTGGATGGAGAGCAGTCGATTCTGGATTGGTTTGTCGAGGGGCGGACCGTTTTTATCCCTAAAAGCGGAGATTTGTCGATTCCTAAGAATTACAGTTATGAGTTGTTTACACGCATCTTATACACAGGAATACTTACCGCAGTTGCCCGAGTGTTCGAACTGACATATGAGCATAGAGGGTCGAAGAACGGAGTCGCTGGATGTAAAGAGAACCTGCTCATCGATAGATGTGTAACGCAGGACTCGATACAATATAAGCGTAACCTCTCTATGGCCTGGATCGATTACCGTAAGGCATTTGATACAATTTTGCATGTGCTCATCTTGCATTTGCTCAGATGCCTTGCGGTACCCGATAGCATAGTGAGATGCACTGAACAACTGATACCACTTTGGCGAACTCGCTTCACCATAACATCTGGTCAAGCAAGAGTCCAAACAGGGTGAGTCACTTTCAGAAGGGGTATATTTTAGGGTGATTCCCTCAGTCCCCTTCTCTTCTGCATCTCACTATTGCCATTATTCGTTGCGCTCAGAAATTCTCGAGGGTATAACTGTGGCACCCCCAGAAACCAGGGCACAAGGTCACCCATCTGTTTTATATGGATGATCTTAAACTTCATGCCTCTGGAGAGGAGGATCTCCATCAGTCTTTGAGGGTGGTGGAAGAGTACACGCATGCTATCGGTATGAAATTTGAGATAGACAAATGTGAAATGATCCACCTCAAAAGAGGACGATGCAGAGACTACGGAGAGGATGTGCAGCAAGTAGATGGAAGCATTCCACACCATCAGGATGCTGGAGAGACGTATACTCACCTCGGGGTGGAACAACGCCATTCACAAGGTAACAGCAGTGAAAAATTCTGTCCGCGGCAAGTATCAGCACAAACTTCGACAAATCCGGTAATCGGAACTGTCGGGAAAGAACAAAGTTGCTGCAACAAATATGCTTGCCGTTCCAATCTTACTCTACTCGTTTGGAGTAGTGAAGTGGACTCGGGAGGAGCTGTATCAACTCGACGTAAAAACTCGAAAAATGATGCATCTCTATAGGAGTTTGCATTCCAAATCGTCTCTTCCAAGGTTGTACTTCCCCCGACAACAGGGAGGCCGTGGACTTTTGAGTTTAGAGTGTCTACATGACAGAATGGTACTGGATACCGCCTGTAAAGTCGTCAGGAGTTCCAATCCCCTTCTCTGCATGGTCCGTGACCATGAGAGAGCAGGAATTGGAGCATTTCTCCTCAGGGCAGCTGCCGAACAGCTGATGAACTCGGTATAGTTTTCGACTCTGATCGAGGTGACCACAACTCTGTCTCCGAGTTGGAACCCGTTCAGCAAAAGGCTCAGATAAAAGCCACAGAGATAACCTTACTTTTGCGGAGACACAAGGATAAGCCATTGCATGGAGTTTCCTTCAATAACATTGGAGACCTTGGCTTATCAAAGCGCCTGACGTTTGCTTTTTTCAAGTCGAGTGGGCGGAAGTCGGAAACTGAGGGGTTCATCATGGCTTGGCAGAATGGTGTCTTCAACACTTCAGTCTACCGCAGTCGTGTGATGGGTATAGAGGTTCCTTATACAAGGTGCAGGGCCTGCCGCGAGGCGCACGAGACCCTAATGCACTCGCTATCAGCATGTCCAGCTTATGCGATCTCGGCCTATATCCATCGACATAACGTGGCCCTAAGAGTGCGATATTACCATCTACGGCACTCTTACGCTCCGGAGGATATCGAATCCGTTGTGAGGAACGAGAAGTGTCGAATTTATTGGAACTATTCGTTCTCCACCCTCAGGCTCATACAAGCTAATAAGCCTGATGTAGTCCTTATCGACCACCAGAGCAAAACAATATTTCTCGTGGAGTTTTCAGCTCCTGGCGAGACGAATATCGTCAGAAAAGCGGAGGGAAAACGGATAAAATATCAATATTTTCTCTTCGTACTCCGCAGACTCTATCCAGATCACTCTGTCAAGATGGTTGTTCTGATTATTGGAGTCCTTGGTGGAAACAAACTGCATAGAGAGCGGTGTTTTTGTATAATTCAGTGTTAATATAAAAGTTGTTACGATAGTTTGTTTGGAGGTGTTTGACAGTTATCACCCGAAGATGACTGTGAAAACTGACATTCGAAACGTCGTGAAGTAACTTGGCTTGAAATCTTCAAACTTTTAGTCCATTCAAATTTTTCTATTTTATCTCTATATTTGTTCTTTCAGCGATTTCAAATCATCTATACGAATATCATAAATGTGAAAGTTTGTGATCAAGGATGTATATATGTATGTAGCTCTTTCATGCCTAAACGACTGAACGGATTTAGATGAAACAGAAATACAGCGTATACATCAGAATAACATAGAGGCTACAATTCACAAACGTTTTGTGTAATTTTGGTGTGTAATTTTGATGAAACGATAAGTATTAAGTGAGTCGGAAAAATTCTTGCTTCCTGAGAGCTATCTTGGCGGGTGCTGCCTTTATACCGTTGGAGTCACATGCAGTTGATATACGGTAAGATTGTTTATCTTAAATATTTCTAAAAAAAAGTCCGCGATAGCATATATCTACATAAATTGGGTTCCTTTATCACAATGTACGTTTTAAAATATCTGTCTAATTGTGATAAAAATTGATACATTTTCGTTTCAAGTATTCAATTTAGATAAACTTTGTCTTTCACACTAAGTAATTTAGATGAACCATTTGAAAGTTATCACGATAAGATCAACTTGACGTAATGCAGTAAGGCGTTACGCGTCGCGTCTACTATATGACGACGTGGGACGATGCGCGGGGGTAGAGGAGCGGTCGGAGCAATAAAGCGCCATCGTGGAGAACGCAACCCTAATGCGACAGACGTCCTTGACGGTTGTGTTGATTTTGCGAATTTCTCTATAGGTATCATAATTTGATTCTCGAAGCCATTCATAACTCGGTGCAGTTGACATATTTTTTCAGTTACTGTATTTTTGAAGTGAAAATATAATTTACTAGCTGCTGTTCGCTCTTATATCAACGTAGGTACAGCCGAAGTTACTGAACTTGGAATCTTTAAATATGCAGGCAGGTTCTTTGTACAGCGTAAATAAGCATCAAGAAAGGGAATAAGTAATTTCTACCTCCAAGGGGAAAACATAGGGGTTCAAAGATTCTTTTGAATTTGGTCAGTTTTGAAGTTGGAAACCTGAAGTTTTGGGTTGATAAAAAAAAAGGGAACTATTTGTTTAAAATGGTCTGTCACGAACAACTAATATTATCACATTAGACAATGGAAGTCCAAACTAATAAAATTTATTCAAAAATGTTTTCCTTTCGTGTAATTCAATGTTTATATGAAAGTATCTGTTTTGAGAGGGTTTTTTATTTCAGTTTGAGCTCAAAAGTTATTTTTTTCATGATCTAGTTAGACATTTTTGTATAGATATTTTCAAATTGATTGCTTTCCCCCTTGTCTTGGAAGATTCCCAAATTTTTGTTTAACGATAGAGCAGTAGTAAAAATATACTTCTTTCATTTCGAAAAATAAATATGCTTGTGTCAAGTATAATAGTTGCATTGTATTTTTATTGTATGTGACACTAATGTATGGAACCCCGTATAGCTAAAAGCGAGTTGTGAAAAATTGATGAAATTCGTTGAAAAATTCACTCACGCGATCCCAAATTTCCATGTTGAATCCAAAATTAACATGGAAGTACTGATGATGATTGTCATGAAAAATTGCATCCGGTTGCCATGGTTGCCACCATTGTGCCTTAAAAGCTATCCCTGAGTGATCTATTATGCCATGGTAGTAGACGTAAGCAACAATTGCATAAAATGGTCCTGGAATAGAGAAAAAATAATGTAACTGTTGAACCTCAATTCAGGCTGTTCGAAAAAAAATTTTTTGGTCCGAAATTTTTGTTATTATGAGTAATGGTATTTCCTAATGTATCACTGAAACCAAATAGAAGTCACATATATTTGAGGGTTGTGAATTGATATTTTGTAGAAACTGCATCAGTATCTCACCTTTCTCTGATAGTTCTACGAAAAAATCAACTGAAAAATTCTCTTTTTGTCTCAATAGTGAGCTATAACAGATATTTTGAAGTATAGGGGAGAACAGGGCAATGGGAGCCTACTAAGGGGAAGTTTGAATGAAAACATCGTTAGTCAAAATTCTTTTTTTTTTTTCATTATAAAATATTACTTTTGTTATAAGAGAACACTTTAATCATAGTTATAATCAACTACAGACATGTAGATAAGGTACAATCACAGTTTTACAAAAAAAGTCAGTCGCTCCTATTACCCGACAAATGCGGGTAATAATGAGATCCCATTCAACGCTGACACAGGAAATGGGAGCCATTATAATTACTAAAGAAAAAAAATTAACAAAACGTACTATAAATGATACCTTAATTACTATAATTATCAACACAATAAAACTATTAGTAAGTCAAATCAAAATAAAAACAAACTTGAACAAAACGGAGATGAAATATGAAATTATTAATGGATAACAAAAAATCTAGACTGCCAGAACACTCTTTATGGGCCCAGTTTCCGCAACTTCTGCATCGATACCACATCTCTTCACATTTTCCAGTATCTAAACAAATTGCTCATAAATTATCCTCTCCAGAATATTCTGACTCATCATCCCAAATGTTAATTTCGTCTACTTGATCAATAGATGAGTATTCATCATCACTTTTTAACAAATATTTTGTTGCCTTTCTGATCCTTGTGTTTCTGGTTGTGTTTATCTTTAGTATGTTTCTTTTTAATACATTCACCTTTGGTACATTTTCCCTTGACACAAGTTTTTTTATCACAGTTTTCTTCATTTTTTTAATTGTCTTCCTCTTATTCTCCTTTTCAGTTCTTTTTTTTCTCTTCAAATACTGCTTTACGTATTCCAAAAACACTTTATTGTGAGATTTTCACTAAATTGTTTTACAAAAACGCAACACGTGTTTCGCCATACAATGGCTTCATCTGGCGTGTCTTTCAACTAATTCTACACATTCAATACTAAATATATATATAGTTTATGGAGTGCCTGAAATCAAAGTACCTGTAAACGAAGTACCTGAATTTTAAGTAGCTGATATTTTACCTGAGTTTCTAACGAATTAAATTACCTGCACTTATGTTCCATTTTCACATTTGAAAAAATATATTCAGTAACGGAGAGTTATTGAGTTCTAATTGATCATTCAGTAAATTACCCGAATTCCTGAATCTATTGATTTCTAAACATTCTAGAAGATTAAGTTTCAAACTCTTCTCTTCTAAATGTAACACCTCGTACTCATGATTGAACTCATGTCCTTCTGCTAAAAGATGGTTTGCAAATGTGGAATTGGTCTTTCTATTTACAAAACTACTCCTATGTTCTTTAATTCGTTGGAAAAATATTCTTCCTGTTTGGCCAATATACAGTTTTGGACAAGAGCCACAAGTCAGCTTATATACTCCTGATCTATCCGACACCAAAGTTTTGTCCTTATTGTTTTTAATAAATTTACTTAGGTTATTATTCGTTCTATAAGCTACGTTTACGCCTTCTTTCTTCAAAAAACGGGCAATATTCCTGTTTGGTTCCCCCACATATGTCAATGTCTTATAACTAACGTTATCGCATCTTGAATATGGGTAGACCAGATCCATGGCTTGCTTTTGTCGTTTTTTGGAAAGGATGGAGCTTACGATATCTACCTTATAACCGTTATTAATCGTGATTTGTTTGATCAAATTCAGCTATTTCTGGAAATCCCTATCAGACAGTGGAATATTCAATAATCTGTGAAGCATACTATTGAATGCAGCAACTTTATGCTGGTACGGGTGTGTGGAGGAATTATGTATGATAATGTCCGTGTACGATGGTTTGTGGAAAATTGCAAACTCATGTTTATTGTTATTTTTCGTAATGCGAAATGCGTTACGAAAACGCATTTCGCATTACGCATTTATTTGGAGTATTTGTTATTATTACAGAATGCTGTTTGTTCTTCAACGGTCTTTGTATTTGAGAGATGAGTTGTTGGGGCAGTGGACTGATAATGGAGACAACATTAGCAAAGTCAATATTGGACTGAGTTGCGATAGATCTGGCGGTGTGTGTCTTCAGAATAGCAGGCGATTCCGGTGTTGAATATGATGTGGATGGAATTGAAGATGGAGTTACAGCAGCTTCCCTCTGAATAATTTCTGGTTCAATTTCCAGACTACAAAAATAGATGGACTTGTTACAGGGCTAGAACATGGTTGCTCAGCCTGATTTAACGTTGATGGAATAGAAGTGATATTCGTTGGCTGCTGTTGAGCGTCAGCCACCGGCACAGTTGATCTGGATTCCTCATTAATGAAGTCATCATCGCAAAAAACTCCAGGATTCATTGGGAATATTCCCGTTGCTTTAAAGCTCGACACTCCTTTTTCTATAGAAGCAACTCTAGTATAGGCTTCATTAAACAGTTCAGTAATGTCGTATGGAGTAATTTTTATCAAATTTCTAGATTTTATATTCAAGTTGCATTCTTTGTTGAAAGCTCTTTCAAGAGGGGAATAAAATGCAATGTCAAGGGGTTGTAGATGGTGGGATGAATGGGGAGAAATGGTTAGAATTATGATATAGTTCTCTTTTGCCATTTCCCAAGCTTCGAGAGTAGCATGCCAGACTGTTGAGATACTTTGTACACCGATACCCCTCCTCTTCTGAGAACAGATAACGCATTTTCTAATGAATCCACTGTCCAAGAAGCTTTTGTGGTTGTCCGAACTCTTCTACGTGGCATCTAAAACAAAAAAAACAAGGCATTATGTTTCTTAAATGATTAAGTGGGGTAAAGGGGTAAAAGTAATAACATAAATATGTAATTTTATTTTCAATCACAATTTTACTAATTGGGCTTGTTAGTAAACGAATATAGGGATATAAGAAGTATAAATACAATAAAATAAGAATATAATTTCATGCTTACCTTGATGCTGGCAATCGACAATTTCTTGTAAGCGTGGAGCGAAAAACATACAAGCATTCCTAGTGACTAAACGAATGGCACTAACGATTCGAGCGCGTCAGGCGAAGTTTGCAGATAGTTGACGGAAGTAGCCAAGTGCTTACGATCGCGCAAATGTACGTGCATTCCATTCAATCACCATATCTCCCATTTCCCGACCGCTCTCATTACCCCGCGTTCCCCTACTACTGGTATTTGTGCACATTTTTCAATGAATCAAAATTACATTTACCTTCTCCATTTTGAAGATGTCGATCTCTCAGAGTGTTGGAAAGTCAATTATGCATTGATGAAACTGAAACTTGTGACAATTTAATCAACCCATATATTTATGGATTAGACGCGAAAAAAAATATCATGACTGGAGTTCTTGAAATTTGATCGCAATAAGTGAACGTAATTGACAACTTGATTTAACTTGATTTTAAAATCGTCTCATTATAATGAAATATTTCAACTAATACTTCCTTTTTTCGCCCTCATTCAGCTATTCGTGAAAGTATACTTATGTTTCATGGAAATCTATTCAAATTTTTGCTGAGCAGAATCTGATAAATGTGGCGCCTTTGAATGGATATGTTCCAGTTGAGCTTCAATTGGTTTTTCTGTTCGGTTCATTTCTTGTCCGCCACTTTCCTGATTCATATATATTTTCGGCTTTTACTTGACCTGTGATCTTTTCCATATCGAAATCAAAATAAATCTGACGACTGTTACGAGTTATCTATTCGTATGAGAGAATGAATATTCGAAAATATTATTCAAAATATTGAAGTTCCTCAACGTTACCACTTGGATACTGATATGGATACTGAAGTATATCTATGCAGGTTTTCTCAATAAGTATTTTCTTATTCTTCCAGTAGCAAGATATCGTTGAAATCAATCGAGTGATCAAACGCAGAACATTACTCCTCGTCAGTGCAAGACAGATTCAACCAACACACCAGTGTGTTCTGGAATTTTTTGGACGGACTATGTTTGATTGTAAGAACACACCTGACACCTTTTTGGAGCTCTTTCGGCCGATTTTATTCGATTGCCAAAATAAACTGCTCATCTACTTTGTTTTCTGTGCGATTGCTTTGAAAGAATTTTCAGTCTTTTGTTACTCTTGATTCTATACTTATCCTTGTTCTTAATGCTTGTTCCTCACTTCTTCTTTTATTATAGTGGATCACTCCTCAAGTTGGTACCATTATTTTCAACATGACACTTGACTTTACGAATTCTGTCGCAAGTTGTCCTTCATTCATATCACATATCGACCGAACCACATGTCCTCAATCTCTAACATGTATATTTTTTTCAATAGGGATACAAACAGAATAAATTCAAAAAATATCCTCATTTTACATATGAAAGAGAGTGAGTAAACAAAATATAAATGCTAAGTACATTACACTATATAGTAATAAATATTAACAAAAAACTAAATAAACCGTATATGAAGAATCGATAACTAATTATAATTTTAAATCTAAGAAATGGTAACCTCAGTTTTTCAATATCATTGCAATGAGTATTGAAGGATCTGACAATTCTGCATAAAGGAGAGTTTTTTCCTGAATTGGTTTTTCTAAATGGGTTTGCAAAGAGATCATGGTCTCGTAAGTCTCTGCAAGGTGTATTCAATGAAATTTTTGTTATCAACGTAGAACAATCGACACGTTTATTGAATAATTTGCACAGCATTAATATATCTGACATTTTTCTTCTATCTGTAAGAGACAACAAGGAATACTTTTTGTAAACTGGACGGAAATTTCCATTATAGATTATAGAAATGTCAGTTTTACGCGCCAA